AATTGTATGCAAAGCTGTTCTACTGATACCTGTTTCTGTGTCAGAATAGTTTACCTGAACACTCATGAGCTGCTCTTGAGAGTAAATAAGAATAAGGATAATTTGAAACATTATATTCTGTTTGTATTTCTGATATTCCTCCATTAACTTTGTGATATAATTTTAAGCATTATTATACCAACCAAATTAAAATTAAATCTAAGAAACTGAAATATTAGGATGTACTTTATCCTACTGTTTTGCAATTAACAATAGAAAAAGAAACTCTTCATTAATAAGGAAACCTGCTTAAAAATTTAAATTACAGCTTATTTATTCTTTCTTGAACAGAAGCAGAAAAGTAGGCTATTAATTCAATAATGTTTTGCTTTGTTCTCAGTATTAATAAATCTAGCTTTGTTCGGAAAACAAAATATAAAAAAGCAATAATGGAAAGTAAAGAACAAAAAAAAGAAAGTAAATCAACTAATCCAAGTTGTCAGTTCCAAGGCAGACAGATATAGAAAGATTTCAAATCAGACATTTCAAAAATAGTCATGCAGTTGATTTCTGCAGGAGCTAGAATAAAAAAATGAGCCAGTCCCACCTTCATTTCTTGTTTCAGGAGATGCTTTGGTTCATGAATTACTGTGAATCAGTTCAGTGGATCAATTGTCAAATACAAAAGTTGGCAACTCAAAGGTTGCAGATCAATTTTTGTGGATCCCAGATCTTTTAAAATATATAAGCAAAATTGGACTACTTTAGGATTATTTAGGAGAGATTTATAGCAATATAACTTACATGTAAACGTTTAACCTTTGGAAATACAAAGAACAACTTTTGATTTTTTTTAAAGCTGGTTTTTTTTAATCCGTGTTCTGTGGGGTTCCTCAGGTTTAAACAGAGATGCAGTAGAACTCCTGATTCAGTGTTTGGAAGACATAATAGGAATAGAGGAAACATGTTAAAAGTTAACCTTTGAAAAATGCAAATACTGTTTGTGTAGAAACAATACAATTCCATTCAATGTTGACTGTGGATATTGACACAATTATTCTGAAGGGCAGATCTATAAGTAAAGGTCCTGTTTTCATAGCTCTTACTTACTTTCAGATTCATAGTTATGTTATATTTTTTCTTATTTTAACTTTGAATTCGATGAAGCCCATTAAATTCTGAAATTTATTGCTTGCCTTTACTTGCTTTTAATTACTATTAAAATGCAGTTAATCATGGCTGAATTATAATATCAAGAATATGCATATATGAAGAGACTCAAAAATTATAAAGGTCACAGGTTGAAGATTTTATATCTTATACTGAAGAATACATTCATGCATATGTTGATTGAAAATATACATTAATCTTACAAATTTTTAAAATTAAGTTTTTGCGCATTAACAGTTTAATGAATATATAGGGCTGGTTATTGAAATTATTTCATTTCAAAGTATACAGTTAATTTACTAGATGCACTTGATTTCTTGTTGCACTTAGTTCTTTTTTAAAGCTGGCATTTAATTGTATATGTTAAACAAGTTAATTTTATACAGGATTATACAAAAACAAATGTCAAGATAAATTACTACATATGGATAATTGGTTAAATTTAATATTCTTTAAATAAAATATTAGCCTTAGTTTGTCAGATAGCACAATGTTTTTAAAAGGTATTAATCATTCTTCGATGCATAAAATGAAAGGACAAAGAAGCTGAGTTCCTTTTCAGTCGGGTTTCAGGCCTGGTTACTCCAACTGCTTTGGTCGCGCTGACCGATGATCTCTGGCGGGCCAGAGATAGAGGATATTTCTCTATCCTGGTGCTTCTTGACCTCTCAGTGGCCTTCGATACCATCGACCATGGTATCCTTCTGCGACGGTTACGGGAGGTGGGAGTGGGAGGCACCGTCCTAAGGTGGTTCTTCTACCTCTTGGACAGGTCGCAGTTGGTGTTGGTTGGAGGACAAAGGTCAACCCCTAGGCCCCTCAAATATGGGATGCTGCAGGGTTTGGTCCTGTCCCCCCTCCTATTTAACATC